GATTAATGTATAAAATATAACAACACCTGCAGTAGTGGTGCCCATAATGCAATAGCAGTGCCCGTCTAAGGATTAACATATAAAATGTTTTGCTGGGTTTTTTTTCATTACCTTGTCTATTAAAATTTTTTTTTAACGTAAAAGTATCTTCTGAAAAGATTTGATATGTTATAATTTAAATGATGAATGATACTGTGTGAAAAGATATCCTGACAAATAAAGTATAAATATTAAAAGAAAGTACTGCAGGTGTTATTATATTTCATATAATCCTTAAATGGGCACCGCTACTGCAGGTGTTGTTATACTTTATACCGCTATTGCATTAATGGCACCACTACTGCAGGTGTTATTATAATTTATATATTAATTCTTAGATGGGCACCGCTACTGCAGGTGTTATTATAATTTATATATTAATTCTTAGATGGGCACCGCTACTGCAGGTGTTATTATAATTTATATATTAATTCTTAGATGGGCACTGCTATTGCATTAATGGCACCACTACTGCAGGTGTTGTTATATTTTATACATTAATCTTAGATGGGTACCACTGCTGTAGGTGTTGTTATATTTTATATATTAAATCATTAGATTGGCACCGCTATTGCATTATGGGCACCACTACTGCAGGTGTTATTATAATTTATATATTAATTCTTAGATGGGCACCGCTACTGCAGGTGTTGTTATAGGTTATACATTAATCCTTAGATGGACACCGCTACTGCATTATGGGCACCACTACTGCCGGTGTTGTTATATTTTATATATTAAATCCTTAGATGGGCACTGCTACTGAATTATGGGCACCGCTACTGCAGGTGTTATTATATTTTATATAATTAATCCTTAGATGGGCACCGCTACTGCATTACGGGCACCACTACTGCAGGTGTTGTTATATTTTATATATTAATCTTTAGATGGGCACCGCTACTGCGGGTGTTGTTATATTTTATATATTAATCCTTATTTATTTATTATTTAGTTATTTATTCCTTGCACTGTAGGCACTTTCAGCACTATTACACTGATTTTAAAAGTAGTACCGTTTAAACATAACAAAAATATATAAAATATAAGAAAAGTTCGTGTGTAGGCTAGGACAGCAGAAGTGTGTGTTCACTGGACCTTATCGACAATAACATACAGGTCACGTTAAATGAATATTCAATTTATATTGCTACTTAATTATTCATGAACCTGATTGACGATCTATCTAGGTCTTAGCCTTATACCTTGTGGACTTATTTTAAATACAAGCTGCGTATTGCCATTTGAAATCAATACAGACTAGGCCCTAGGGGCTAAAGGTAGGCTTCCCTAGGCCTTTAGACGCACAGCTACTAGTTAGGCATAGGGAGATTTGGCGTTTCTGGAGAGTTTGATCTATTTTCAAAACACAGATTTGTATTGTTTTACGACATTCTTTTAGATAAGTATCCGCCCTGCAGGGCTTTAGATGCACGCATGTATTTGCACATATGCAAAAATGAAATAAAGCGTAATACACTTAAATGCAATACTTTTCCTTTTATTTCTGAAAAAAATACACACGTGCAGGACATTATTATTTGGAAGGCCTACAGCCTATCACAGGTAACATACTTTATGCCTAGTAATGTATCCTTATAATTGGCCCATGGAGGAATATGTTTTTTCTCCATGATTACCCTTAATTCATTACTATAAGCCTATACTCTATACTATTCCCATCAACAAATAACAAAAAGAACAGAACTGAGTAAAGCCGGTCTCGAGCTCACACATGATTGCGATTTTCCTTATGATATACCGATTTTTCATAAAATACACTGTCAATACAGTGCTTTCAGTGCAGTCGCTGTTGGCTACTGCTAGCAGTCTCCGACATGTCGTCTTTCCATACAATCGCTACATTGTCGCTAAAGCAATCGCTACACATTAGCTGTCCCCGACGTAATCGGAAATGCAACAAAATCGCCATCTTCAACCTTCCCGATTTATTAATGTTGATGTTGACGTCATAGTCAATTACTATGATGATTATGAAAGTACAATTTGGCAACGCGACGACAAGGAAGATGCCCAACTTTGATCAATATATATTTCATTGGTGGCGCCAGT